AAGTCGCAGAACAACAAACCGAATAACTTGACTTTAAATACTTCTTAGAAGAAATTCTAAGGGCCAACAAATACATGAAAACACTCAAAAGGATTGGCCATCGGCATAGACAAATCAAACGATAGTGAGATATCAGAGCACTATTCAGAGCAGCTAACAGTAAAACAAAACAGAAAAAAAAATGCTGGTGGAAGGTGAAGAAAAAAACATTTTCACACACCCATTTTGCCAACCATAACGGCCTTTCGAACGGCCAAAAACAGAATGGCCATTTGATACAACTAACTGTTTTCTGGGTGTCTATCTGATAATGAAGCCAGCATACCAAAGAAACACCAGCATGTTTCTGCAGCAGCACTCATAATAGCTAAATATGGAATCAAACTCTGAGCCTATCAGCAGACAAGCAGACAAAGAAAATGTTTACATATACAATGGGATACTGTTCAGCTATAGAAGACACAAAACCCTGCCATTTGCAGCATGGACTTCAACCAGTGAAGAAATATTGCCGCCCTGTGACAACCTGTGAACGAAAAGCCTGGCCCAGACCCTGTCCTGAATGAATCTAAAATCTAGTTGGTTTTTGTTCGTTTGTTTGTTTGTTAATGTGCACTAGTACTTTGCTTGTATGAGGATGTCAGGTATCCTGGAATTGCTAGCTGTCCTGGGTGCTGGGAACTGAACCCAGGTCCTCTGGAAGAGCAACCAGTGAGTGCTCTTAACTGCCAAGACATCTTTCCAGTCCTAAAGTCTAGTATTTTAACAGAAACAGAAAAGGGAAATTTTGTGTTTGTGGCTGCCCACAGCAGTCCAGGGTGAGTCACTTTTCACTTGCTTGGAAAAAATGTTTCTTTTTGTGGGTCACAGGACTCCCACTGCAGGCTTCTCGCCCATGAACAGACAACACTCCATTAGCATTCCTAAGCAGAATCTGGGAAAAGGCAGTCACCCCAGCCAGGTAGGAATGGAAAGCCCCCACTTGGTCTTTTAGCAAGTTTCCCAAGGCTCATTTGCATGTTTTGCATGTTGCATATTTCCACTTCAGGGTAATAAACAGCACGTGTAAAGTCTCCGGATGCCATTATTTAGGAGATCTGCCAGGGATTAGGCAAGGATCTGTCCTGGTGTATACCTAATGAGGCAGAAGCAAGTTCTAATGGGACTTCATGGATTCAGACCATAATTGGATTTGGTGGAGGGTGTAATTAAATTCCATTAAGAGCCCAAAACCTCTGCCCTAGAAAATAATGGAAAGGTCAGAAAACCTACCATTTGTCTCCAAGGGAAATATGGAAAGGTTGCAGAAACTCTAAGGACAGCCACCCAACATGGTAGATAGAACTGGGAGTTTGATCTTCAAGGAAGTGAGCTGAAAGCGCCGTGGTTGATAGGAGAATTACAAAACTTCTGATAGCGCAGATACTGGGGAGTGGGTCAGCCGGCCAGCTTGCCATCAGTCACACCCCAGAGAGACACCTGCAGCACGTCCTGCTGTGTGCCCAGAGTTTCCAGGCTGCACGGTCTCCAGAGGTGATCCCCAGGTAATGGCTGTGGAGATGGTGCTGGCTGACTGCCCTGGCCAGAGCAACCTTCCTCTGAGAAGGAAGGGACCCACTGAGAATCCCTCAGAGGCAGCTGCTCCTAGCCACACTGGATCCTACTCTGATGTTCCTAACTGAAATAGAAAAAAAATCAGGAAACTGGGGGACAGAAATCACTTTCCACTCCTAGAAACCAATCAGAGACAAGCAACAGGTGAGGCAAGCATAACCTTGTTTATCAATTCTTCTTTTATGAATTATGCTTTGCTGGCACGCCTATGACTTTTTTCTTTGTTACAGCTCTCATGAGATTTCCCACGTTCTGTTTTGTTTTGTGTTGACGCGAGCGTCTTGTAGCTCAGGTTAGCCTCTGGCTTATTATTATAAGCTAAGGATGACCTTGAACTTCTGACCCTCCTGCCTCCACGCCTCTCCTAAGCTCTGAGATTCCAGGCACACACCACCACTTCTAGCTTACACCATGCCGGGCATGAAGTCTAGAGCTTCAGGCGTTCCAGGCAAACACTCTGCCAACTAAGCTGCATTCTTAGTCATCGGTTTTCTGCTAAAAGTCTTCTGTTTTTATCATTTACACTTATTTAGGTCTTCTTTGATATCTTCTGGGAAAACTTGTGAGTTTGAACATATAAATCTTATACATGTTTTGCTAGATTTATGTCAACATGTTCATTTTCCTTTGAAAAACTATCAGTGCTACCATGTTTTTAATTTGAGTTTCAAGCTTGTTCACTTCCTTCATGATAAAATGTTTATTGTCAGAGAAGCATTTTTTTTTTTTATGGTGGTAACTTTCAAATCCTTGTCATAAAATTCCAGCGTCTGATTCTTCTCATTTAGCACCTGCTGATTTTCTACTTTCCCTCATCCTTTTCCTGGCTTGTCATATGATGGGCAATGAGTTCCTGTTTCATTCTGAGTTTCCAAAGGTCCCTGCTTGAGTGTGTTCCTCTTTCCACTTGATTCCCTCAATATTTCCTAACAAAATCAGGTCACTAATTTACACCCCCTGGGCATGGGAACAAGGAGACAGAAAGCCAATCCGTCCCATTCACCACCACCTCATTATGCCCCTTATTGACATTTGGGTGAGGACAGGGGCTCAGCTCTCTGTCTCTCACTAAGAAGGAGAAAGCTGAGTCTTACTTCACATCATTTCACTCCTCTGAGACCAAGTGATGCTGGGGCTCAGCCCCCACCTGACTGCTTTGGGGCAGAGAGGAGTGAGAGTTGTGCTTTGAATCTCAAAGGCTTGTTTGCCAATACATGGACTTTGGAAAGTGGTTGGATCATGAGGACTTGGGACTAATCAATGGATTAGTTCATTGAAGGATTCATAATTTGATAGGCCATGGGAGGTAAAGTAGAAGCTAATAGAAGAGAGTGGATCCTTGAAAGTATGTACTTGGGGTCTGAATCTTGCTCCCTCCCCTTTGCTTTCTACTTCCCAGTCACCGTGACTATGTTCCATTACATGGTCTCCACTATGATGTCTCACGGTCCAGAAACAGTGAAGCCAAGCGACCATGATACCTTTGACACTGAGTCAACATGTGGGCATTTTGTCATGGTGATGGAAAGTTGAGAGGTGATCATGGTATCTGCTTCCCTCATTCCCATAGTTGACACCAGGGTGGACATCCCTTTGATCACCTGATTGGTAGATATAGAGGCTCCATTCATAACAGGCTCCAGTGAAACTACCTGGAGTGAGATCTAGAACATTCTCTGCTTCCATTGGAGGAATAGAGATTGGCTCCCTACATGCCACTGGGTAGATACATGAATGCTACCATTTTATGCTGCCTGCTTCCTCAGGCTATGGGAAACACATCAGCTCCCTGCCTGGGCCCACTGCAATTGCTGGTGAGTGGGGTGGGAAGAAGGCTAAGGTGTCCTTTCCTTGTGCCTGATTCAAAGTGGACATTGTCAAGTTTTTCTACTGTTAGGTCACTGTCTTCCTGGTCCTTCAGCTATGGAGGAGCCTTCATTTTGGAGTGTATTTTGTCCATGATTCTTAGAATCCTGGGCAAATAATTGCCTTTTCATGTCTCAAGGTCCAGGCAGCCAGTATCTTTCTTTCCCTTCCAGCTTGTTTTCTGGGTATTATCCAGGATGTTGAATTATGAAGAGAGAGGACCCCAGGAGAGGAGGCTATTGCACTGACAGACCACAAGCCCCCATTATTCATCTGTTGTTATTGTTCCTTTTGTTTTGTTGCATATGTATGTATATAAGCGTGCACACATACATATGTATGTATGTGGGCATGCAAATGTACATATGTATGTATGTGGGCATGCAAATGTACATATGTATGTATGTGGGCATGCAAATGTACATATGTATGTATGTGGGCATGCAAATGTACATAAGTATGTTTGTGGGTGTGCAAATGTACATATGTATGTTTGTGGGTGTGTAAATGTACATGTGCAGAGGCCTGAGGTTGATGTCAGGTGTCTTTCTTCATTGCTATCCACCTTCTGTATCAAGGCCAGGTCTTTGACTTTAACAAGAGCTCTCCATTTTGTCTAGTCTAGCTAGCCTGCTTGTCCCATGGAGGCCCTATCTCTGCCTCCCGTGTGGTGGCATTACAGGCACACCCTGGGTTCTGGGGCTCTGAACTTGAGTCTCCATAGCAAGCATTTTATTCACTGGCTCAACCTGCCACCACTATTCTCTTTAAAAAATACAGCAATTACATCCTGTATGCAATTCTTTATCATTTTACTTACCGTAAGTTTTAAATTTCTGTTGAAAGCAGAACTGCTTGCAAGTACAATTTTAAAGGTGAGATATAATTCCCCACTGAATGGTCGGAGTATGATTTACATAATCATTTTGCTATTGATATTCATTATTATCGTAAATTATGTACTGGTAAGAATGTATTGCTTCAGTGGTTTTTGTTTGCTTGTTTTTTCCATATTTATGACTAGTAGGGTAGAGTCCTAGAGTAGAATTACACAGAGTCCCCTAGCAACAAGCAAACTCTTGGACTTTCACCAGCAATGAATCTTCAACATGCTTTGAGACATGAGTTAACTTGAAAAGAGAACAGTGACTCAATTTCTCCTAATTTGAATCTCTGTGTTGACTAGTGAGGTCGACTAACCTATCCATTTGTAACTTAGCATCTTGTCTTTCAATTGTTTATCTTCAGGGCCTACTTACTCTATTGGAGTAGCATTTCTAGCAGAAAAATCTGACAGTACAAGCAGTTTTCTGAAACTACAAAGACATATTTCAACATCAAAGATGACCTCAAAGAGAAATAACTCAATCTCCTGTTCAACTGCCGAACAGGGAAACACCTGCCGATTAAATGGAGATATCAGATAAAGATAAAACGTGCAGAACATTTCAGATCCTTTGGATAAGGCTTGGTCTTTAAAACCACACTGTTAAAATGAATACATGTGTCCTGAATCTTACCTGAAGCATGACTACATTGTCACCTTCAAAGGTTACAAACACGTCGGTGTCACATTTCAGGCCTGAGATTCGGTTTTCCATCATGTAACCCTGTTGTAGAGGAGGAGAAGAGAAGGGAAAGAAAGAAGAAAAAAATGTTTTATATTTGTAAAGAATAGTTTATTTGAAATTAAAAGCACAGAACACTGGGAAGAACAAGATAGCCATGGATCTCTTACTCAGAATAATTTTGATCTATCTCATGAGCTTTGAAGTCATAAATACTATTTTGAGTATTATCTTTATTGATAGTAAAACATCTACAAATAGTCATTCCATATTTAATCAAAAGACTTCAATTAATTACACCAATATTCTTTCTGTTTTCCAAGTCTTCTGAATTCTACTAGTGACTTACACCAAAGTGTGTGAGAGATTGACACCTCCCTCCACCCTAAAATGCCCCTTCTGACCACTAGACTATGAGGATCATTGGAAGGCAGGATAAAAATTTCACGCTAGCATTCCAAGTCTTAATATTATCAACTATTCTGTGTTGCAAATCCACTCTTTAATTAGTTCCCTCCTCTTCAACCTCTTCCTTCTTTCTCCCTCCCCTCCCCTCTTTCTCCCTCCCCCCTTCCTCCTCTTCCTCCTTTTCATTTCCTCAAGTCCTATTTCAAACGTATTAGCCCACAATTATCCAAGAGCTGACTGTCTCCTCACATAAAGAACTGGTCCCTTGAGAAAATGTTGGTTCCGGTCCAGGCAAACATGAAGAAAGCAAGGTTTGCCTCTGGCCTAAGAGCTCTTCCCCTGTCAAGACCTCGTCATCTCCTTCAGTTCAGGCTTTTCCCCACAGAATATCTAGACTCTAGCTCTCTGTTGCTCCTCGCTCAGAGTCCCTGCTTTGAACTTTTCATCAGGTATGGAGTGGAAATAAAACTGTGTGATGATTTCAGATGTTCTAGGGTGCCCTCAGACCTGAGGAATTAGATATAACCTAACCAGAAGCTCTCCCCGGGCTTCTGGACAACTGGAAACGAAAGAGCAGGAAGAATACAATGCTGACATATGTGAGATCTGGTCCTTCCTCTCCTCTGGAATCACCAATCTTGTGTACCATCTAATTTCCTCAGATTGGGTGGAAGGCTTGGCCTTACTGAAGTCTAAATCCTTAGGACAGCTGAGGTAACGTATTTAGAAGCTAGCCACGCTGAGAAAGAGCTGATATAAACTATGAGCAAGCCTAAAGACCCACCAAACACTGCATTTCCTAAAAGGGATTTTGCAGCCATATGATTGAGTGCCTGAAATTCTAAATTTGAGATTCCAAATTCTTTGGGGACAAATGATTGTAAAGAGTTTTGTGGCAGAAGAACAATAACATAAAGCCTCAAAAGCAGCCAGTTTGCAGACGCTGGAAGCCCTTTCTCCTCAGCTTCCACTAAGGAACGGAATGGAGCATGCACATGCGCACCAAAAGTCCCGCTAAGTTCAGGGTGGGCTAGGCGCTCCAATGCAAGTTCAGGGCCTTTTCAGCATTTCTCTTACCTCTGTGGCTATCTTAAAAGGCATGACTTTTTCTCCACTTCCCCTCCTGGCAGCTGCTCAGCATTTCCAGCTTGCCTACAATGTTGGTTTTTATCTCAAATTTTAATGAAATTATCCTTGAAATTCCTTGAGTCAATTTTCAAATTCTTTTATTAGTGAGACTAAAAATTTAGAATAAGAATCTCAGTTTCCCAGTAATTGTTTGTTTTTTTGATTAAAAATTAAAGAATTATTTTTATTAATTACTAAAATCAATAAATTTTCACCATAAAAAGACATTTAAAAAGACAAATCAGGAGAAAAAAGTAGGAGGCAAGTAGTGCAGACTCCCCCAGAATTTAAAGCCATCCTACAGTATACAGCAAGGCCCTATAAAAACAAACAAGCAAACAAACAAACAAATCAATGAAAAAAGAGGAACAAAAATATAATAACCTATACTACCAGAGATAAGTGGGTACCTGGGGAAGAACAATTCAGAGGCCATGGCTTAGGATGGAAACTTGGGATCACACAGCTAGAGGTAGGAGTTGGCCAGGATGGCAGAAAGGAGGGAGACCTGGGAAGCCCACAGAGCAGATTTGGGTTTAAGTAAGCCCTAGGGTGTTCCAGGAGGAGGAGGGATACGACAGACCATGGTAGGAACAATCAGAGAAGACCTCCTCACTTCCCTGGCATTTTGGAGTAGGATTTTCTCTATCCCCTGAGACCTGCAAGGGAATCCCTGCATGCTCTCTGATTAGCTCCTCTGTCACAGTTCCTGGGTTCCTTGTTTTTAGTCTGTGTTCACAGCATGTGAATTCTGTATTCTATCAGAGGGTCACCAGCTTCAGTCTCTGTCCCCAAAGGTCCCTAACCTGAGTAACCACCCAGGATGGTACTGGTGCTGGAATCTAGATGGTACATGGCTTGTCTTCTTCTCCACCTACATGTCCAGTTGACTGCCCAGCCACCAGTCCCTCCTTGCAGAGAAGGGTGTGTGAGGAGCCTTGGGTGAGGCGTTTCCTCTCCTCTTCCTGTCTCTATTCCCGTGTCTGCCCCTTTATCACTTATTTTGCATGTCTTCACCCTTCTTATTTCTGTTTTCATTTCCCTTTCCCCATTTCTCACATTTAGACTCCTTTCTACCCCGTACACATCACAATTCTCACTTCCCTGTTCCCATGTCTTACATCCGGGCTCCTTTCTACCCCCATACACATCACAATTCTCACTTCCCTGTTCCCATCTCTTACATCTGGGCTCCTTTCTAACCCCATACACATCACAATTCTCACTTCCCTGTTCCCATGTCTTACATCTGGGCTCCTTTCTAACCCCATACACATCACAATTCTCACTTCCTTGTTCCCATGTCTTACATCTGGGCTCCTTTCTAACCCCATACACATCACAATTCTCACTTCCTTGTTCCCATGTCTTACATCTGGGCTCCTTTCTAACCCCATACACATCACAATTCTCACTTCCCTGTTCCCATGTCTTACATCTGGGCTCCTTTCTACCCCATACACATCACAATTCTCACTTCCTTGTTCCCATGTCTTACATCCGGGCTCCTTTCTACCCCATACACATCACAATTCTCACTTCCCTGTTCCCATGTCTTACATCTGGGCTCCTTTCTACCCTGATACACGCCCCAATTCTCACTTCCCTGTTCTCATGTCTTACGTCCCCAAACATGTCACAATTCTCACTTCCTTTTTCCCATATCTTTCTACCCCCAAATACTTTGCAATTCTCACTTCCTTTATTTATTTTCCCCAGGTATGGTTAAGGCAAATTTCCTACTTATGTGTATTTCCCTGTCTGTTAACTTACTTTCCACCCCCTAACACACACCTCCCTTCTTCCGTTTCCCCTTTCCGTGTATTTCAAGTATCTCACTTCCCGTTCTTCTTCCCCTTTTCTCACTTCCCTTATCTAATTTCTCCTTTTCCTTTCTTACTTCCTTTTTGATTTTCTTATTTCAACTTCCTTCCTTTTAAAAAATACTAGTTTTTGTTTTATTTTAATTAATTATTTAACTATTGTGCATGTGTGTATATATGTGTGTGTGTCACGTGTGTGCAGGTGCCCACAGAGACCAGAAATCATTGAAACCCATGGAGCTTGAGCTGCAGGCAGTTGTGAGGCACCCAAAATGGGTGCTGAGAACTGAGCTGCAGCCTCTGCAAGACCAGCAAGCACGCCTAACTGCTGAGCCATCGCCCCAGCCTTAAAAACATTAACCGCATCAAACAGCAACCTCCCCCCCCCCCCTCCACAATGGTACTTCATCCTTTCTTTTTCAAAGATTTGGGTATTTTTCTTTTTTGTTTTTAATTTTGCATATATGGCTGTCTTGCCTGCATTTCTGTATGTGCTCCATGGGCATGCCTGTCACCCAGAGGGCATTGGATCCCCTTGAACTGGAGTAACAGGCAGGCTATGAGTCACCATGTGAGTGCTGGGAACCAAACTCCAGCCCTCTACAAGAACAGCAAATTCTCTTGACTACTAAGTCATCTCTCCAGTCACTTAAACACACCTTTTTAAATGGATAGATAGCATAGAACTTTTTTATGTACAAGATATTCTCAAGTAAATACACATGGTGAAACAGTAGCGCTAGCTGATTAACAAACACATCACCTCACATAGTTACCACTTTCATGGTAAAAACACATAACGCCCACACTCTTTACATTTTGAAGAATACACTATGTCATCATCAATTAACCTCTTAAAAGTCCATTTCCCTTTTCCAGCTGTGTTCTGTGCCTTTGGCCAGTGTCTTGCTACCACATCCCCATTAATCACTCCAAGCTCCAGTAGGTCCCTCTCTACTTTCCACTTCTATAATATAAGCTTTTTGGGTTCTCCATGAGTTAGATCATGCAGTACTTGTCTTTCTGTACCTGGATCATTCTACTTAACAGAATGTCCCTCGGTTTCTTCTACAGTGTCATAAAATATCAGGCTTTCATTCTTTTTATGGCCATATGCACAGGCAAAGAAAATGCAGTATATGTATATATAAATGTATACACATACATGCATACAAAGGTAGTTATCATCAAATATGACCATGGAGCCTCTTGGTCCCTTTTCTATTACTACAGTAGACTGAGACTGAGAAATAGACATGCAATATTATACTACCAGAGATAAGTGGATACCTTCTGTGTACGGTTAAAGATAAGGATCTAATTCAATCGTTGTGTGGGTTTATGTGTGTGTCCTATTTTCCCATTGGTCCAGGAGACTGCCCTCTCTCCCATGTTTGTTCTTCACGCATTTGTCCAAAACATCTTGGCTGTAGGTGCATGGGTCCAGCTCTCTACTGTTTCATTATTTCTGTCTGGTTTCGTGCAAGAATCTTGCTGTTTGGTGGCTATGGATTTGGAGTCGTCTAGTGATCGAGCTTTTGGTTATTTTGGTCAAGTTTGCTTTGGCTATTCAGATTGTTTTTCCCCATATAAATTTCGGTAGTGTCCATGCATTTCTGTGAAGACCTGCATTGGAATTTGGGTAAGTACCACACTGAAATATATGTCAATATAGGTCCTATG